CACACACCCACACATATATATATATATATATATAAAATTAGCAAATCGTCTTTCAGATTTTATTCCAGCAATTTTTTCAAATCCAATTAATCCTTACGTTTTGCCTCAGCCACAGCAATTCTTTTCTTATCTTTTTTTTTTCATTATCTTGAAATAAATTGTTGTTATCGCTTGTCGCCGATTTACAATTTTCTCCTTTGAAAACTGTTCTCTGTTCGTAGGTATTGACTTCATAATTTTTCATTACTTTTATGCATTCGCAATCACTCCATTTGCTACTCTTTCTCTTTTTTTTTCTTTCTCTCTCTCTCTCTCTCTCGTTAACGTATTAGGTTTCATTCGTATCACTCCACATCACTTCCGCTTCCGTCGTAAAGTCGCTTTTCCATTGTAAAAGTGTATAATAGATGTGTATACGTTTCATATAATACAATAAATTTTTTCCTTCGCTTTCATTTAATCTATATATATATATATGTATGTATATATTGTATATGTATGTATATATATATATATACACATGTGTATCTATTTTGTAATTTCCTCTTTTTTTATATATATATATATAAAAAAGACATGAAAACTAATAGTAGTTCACTTCTCTTGATAGCATTCTCTCTCTTTCTCCATCTTTCTTTCTTCATCATTCATTCTTCTCTTTCGATCACAAGATTCATTTATTTTCTCAGTCATTCTTACGTGTACTCACTTTCTCTCTCTCGCTCTCTCCTTCGTAAGAGATAGGTACAAGGTAGAAAAAATCTGAACGAACGATTTACACTATACGAATCGTCCTACCGGGATATGCGGAATAGAAGAGATGGGCGTGTCATTGATATTCCAGAAAGTTGGAAGAAAATTGACGAAAAATGTAAATATATTGATAAAAATTGATTTTTTAAGATCTAAGAGAATTTAGGACGGAGTAAGGATACAAGAAAAAAAATATAATAATAAACGGTTGAAAGTGGTTGCGATTGGTTGAGGAAAATATTGGGGGGGAGGAGGGGGGGGGTAGAGAAAATTACTGAATTTCCGGTAAGGACGATCGATGGTAAACGTTTAATGGCTAAATTTACGTCTAAGTGCTACTGCTACACTGTTATTAGTATTACAAGTGGCTCCGTAGAGTCGGGAAAAAAGAAAAGAAGGGGGGGGGGGGG